TCCAAAAAGACCCCAAGGGATGGCCCCCCTTGGTGCCAGTAGGAGCAATAGCCAGGAAGAAGATCCAGGGGAGCCCCAGGAGGTGGTACCCCTGGGGGCCAGCGGGAGCCACAGCAAAGAAGAAGGTCCAAAAAAACCCCAAAGGATGGCCCCCCTTGGTGCCAGTAGGAGCAACAACAAGGAAGAAGATCCAGAGGGGGCCCAGGAGATGGTATCCCTGGGGGCCAGTGGGAACCACAACAGGGAAGAAGGTCCAGAGGGGGCCCAGGAGATGGTATCCCTGGGGGCCAGTGGGAACCACAACAAGGAAGAAGGTCCAGAAAGACCCCAAGGGATGGCCCCTCTGGGGGATAACAGTAGCCAAAGCCAGGAAGGGGATCTGGAGAGACCCCAAGGGACTGGTCCCCTGGGGGGCAGCAGAAGCGACAGCCAGGAAGAAGGTCCACAGAGGCCCCAGGTGCCCCCCCTGGGGGATGGCTGGAGCCAAATTATGAGGGAAAACCCAAAGATACAGCAGCCTCTGGGGCAGAAGGCCAAGCAACCAAAAGGGAAAAAAGCTTTGGATTCCAAGCACCAGGAGAAATTTGTCTCAAGATGCAGTCCCAAGGATTGGGACTGCCCATGGTGTAAAGCCATGAATTTTTCATGGCGCAAGTCCTGCTATAAATGCAAGAAAGTCTGTGTGGCAGGTGAGAGTAGAGACCAGGACCCAGGACAAACTCACTAATTTTAGGAAGGTAAGTAAGAATGAAAACACTCCAAAGGAAAACCAATTTCCCAAGTCCCTCTTCTGATCAAAAAAGTAACTTATTTACTTCACAGAAATTGTGAAAACCAAAATTATTGTAGAGAAAGTTAAATAAAACAATCCATTATTCCATTACCGAAACTAACAACTTTTTATCATTGTGGGTACTACATACGTAAATACACACTCCTTTCTGGTTTCTTATTAACCTCCTTTTCTCGAATATGCCATGTCTTTGGGAATAGCCATATGGTCTTTGAGTTATAACTATATTGAATTTCAGGAGCACTGCTCTTCCTTCAAAATGCTATTGTTCCTTTGTAAACTACAGTGTTCATGTTTGTTTCTTGTTTTTAAGTTTTATAGGTGGGGGCCTGTTTTTGTGTCTCTGAGCCCCACAGAACTTGTTTGTTGCTGAAGAAGCTGAACCCGTCCCATTAGAAGATTTCCCAAGAGTCTAAAGAAATCACACCTTGACTCCAGCTGACCTGCACCTCGTTGAGACCCTCCATTGGCTGGAACTGAGAAGAGTGAGAGGAAGTCAGGGAAGAAGAGATGCTCTGGCACTCAGTAGCGGGGCAGGGAGGGCAAAACAATTTTGTTCGAATGTAATTTCTCTGTTGGGATTAATTTGGGAGAGTTGGGGGGGTGTTGCAGTGTTAAATTCTATAGATGATAGTAAATTTGATGGATTACATTTAATCGTTAAACAAATAGTTATTGTCTAGTATGTGTTAAGAGCTAGACTTATATGTTAATATCTGGTGCACACATTATAACTTGATTTGGTGAGTTTGGTTAGATAACAGGAGAGAGCCTAATTTGGGATGCAAAGTATATCAGGAGGATGTCTTTGCCTGGCATACAGCATGATTTTCTGGTAAACCCAACTGAAATGACATCCAGATATATATGTATATATATATTTAAAGATGTTATTTATTTATTTTTGAGCGAGCGAGCACAAGCGGGGAGAGGGGCAGAAGGAGAAGCAGACTCCCCGCTGAGCAGGGAACCCGATGTGGGGCTCAATCCCAGGACCCTGGGATCATGACCTGAGCCAAAGGCAGGTGCTTAACCCACTGAGCCACCCAGGTGCCTCACATCCAGATATTTTTGCAGTTCTGGGAGTAACATCAGGGACTTTCATGAAAGAACTTGAGTCACTGAATTGCTCATCTCACTGTTCACAGGTGAGACAAATGAGCAGTGGCAGAGATCAGGAAAGTGGCTTCATGAAAGTGCAGGTGGGACTTTTCTGATACTCTGTTGATTTCTTACTTTGAGAGGAACAGCTATCTTCCTGGTTGCCTGAATGATCGCTGGGTGACTTAAAGAAAGACAGTACTTGAGAGAGTGTTGGCTACACACTCGAGCCCTCAGCTTTGGATCACCACCATCCCAAGCTCCTTTCCAGTCAAGAGTGGATGAAGAACAAAATGGATTCCAAGGGTGGACATCATGCTGTGGATGGTGCTTCTCTAATAAGATTAAAAAGAGAACTGGACTGAGAGAAGCCCTTTTGGGAATGCCCCGGGCCCCTTTCCTCCCATTTGGTGTGTTCTCTGCAGGCTCTCTGCTCCCCCGAGACAGGTGGAGCCCAGGGGCTGGGAAGTTAGATGGTCTCCAGTCTGAACAAAAGGTGCTCTCAAGTTCCCCCATGAAATCCCAGCTCACCAAGCTCAGCCTCTGTCAGAGGTTTCCTGATTCTAGTAATAAAGAGTGTGCACTTGCCTGCTGTGTCTTCTGTGTGGTGTGCATCTCGGGGCAGGTTTGCTCCAGGGCGGCAGTTTAAACCCACATCTTCCCACCATCCCACCGAGGTGAAGGAAAAGTTCGAGCTCATTCACTGAATAGAGGCCCTCTAATGAGGGCCTCTCCTCTTCCAGCAAGTTACCCAAGATGGGGAGGGGGAGGAGCTTCTATGGGGCCTTCAATCCACTGTGACTGTCCCTGCTCCCCTGTCTGAGTCCACACGGTCCCTTGAAGGTGGGCACCTCCCCTGCTCTTAGGCCCATGGGGCACGAGAGGTGAGGTGGGGACGGGGCTTCTGTCTAGGCTGGGAACCCGGATGCCTGGTGTCCAGCCTCCCTATGTGCACCAAGAAGCCATTTCCCTGAGGCCCTGTCTCCCAGAGTCCCAGCAGAAATTTCCCTTCTGCATTTCTGCCCTGCAATGCACGGTCCCCTCCCTCCTATGCATAATCTCATGAAGGTGCTCAGCGTTCTGGGAAACAGCCAGGTTTAGACGGCCTGTTAATAAGACAAATGTTCCCTGAGGCAAAGGGGAGGGGTGGAACCTGGCTGCCTGCCTGGTGTAGGGACAGGGGATGGGGCAGAGAACTGACCCTACCCCACCGGCTTTCTCCCTCTCCTCAGTCCCGGTAACCGGGAGGCCTTGCTTACTAGAGAGGAGCACTGGGGACGAAGAGGACCATCAGGGACATCGGCCTAAAGCTAGGTTTTCTGGGTCAGGGGCTGGTTTTGTGATACTCCTATGTGTGCCGATAGCTCCCTGGAATTTTGGGAAGATGATACACAGATGGGACTTGGGAATTTTCCAACATAATCCACCTCGATGTACTAGTCCGTCACTAGATCTCACTACGGTTGCTTTATTTATGGTTTCAAATGGGCTCTGCTGTTTGTTGGCATGCCTCTAGGTTTGCATGAAAGCAGACTCACCCTGTGCATAGCTTTTATATAGCTTATTATTATTATTACAGTCTTTCTGGGTTGACAACTTCCAAAACAACCTGAATCATTAAGGCTGTCAAATCACTACCTTTTTTCTGGGCCGGGTACACACAAGAAATGGTAGTGGTTTCTGAGACAAGAACCTGGGCTTTGGAATTAGAGAGACCTGAGTTCGGATACTTGTGCTGTTATTCACTAGCTGTGTGACCTTCAGCAAGTTGCTGAACTTCTCTGAGCCCCCAACAAATGGGTTCTTCCCTTCCCTATCCCCCAGGATTCTGCTCTTGGTGCTGTGGTAATGAGTACAAGGCATTGTTAATGATGGCAAGAGCTACCATTGAGTGCTTACTGTGTGCCAGGTGCTCTAAGCGCATTACCCTTTTTGGTGACTGTAAGGTATGAATAGGTACCCGTATCAGTAGTTCTTCAAAGTGAATACGATTACCCCCATTTTACAGGTAGAGTAACTCAATACCCAAAGTTGGGAATTGGTGAAGCATGGCTTCAAAATGAAATTGTACAGGCTCCAATGCCTCTGCTCTTTCCATTATGTTACTGTACCTTAAACTTGTACCCTTACTGAGTAATACATTTGCATGTCACATGGGTCATCAATGCCTAAATCCAGCGACAGGACTGTAATGGAGAGACTTGGAGGCATAGTAACAGTCCGGTGGTCATGGTCATGCTGCTCTTTAAGAATTTCTCAAGCTTTGTGACAAGTGCCCAGCTTGGCTGCCAGTGAATAGGACCACTTACTATCTCTAGACTGCAGAACCAAGAAGGTGCTGGTGGTAATTTAGGCAGTGGAAGCGATTTGTATTCGATTCAGCAGACTGGCCTTATGAAAAGTTTATATATAGCCGAGTTCAATACTGTTAAGATAGAGCCCATCTTGACTGCTTCTCGGAAGTCTGTCTGAATAACTCAGGGTTGGTTTTAAGTGGATAAGGTACCAGCTATAACAGCCTAATATACATGCATGCATACTTTTCAGCGAGGAAGGAGGGGGGAAAGGAGACTTCAAAAGCTTCACATTTGTGTTGCAAAATGGGGAATAGAATTGATGTTTTCTAAGTCATGGTACTAAATCTATGACAGAGTGGCAAAGAAATACATAATTTCCTTATCATGTGCTTTGTAAAGTCTCAACACTGAACGATAGCAGATTCTTATTATGTGGTGCAGGCACTGTGCGTAACGCCTGTGAGTGTTTCTCTCACTTCTAGCTCACGATGGAGTGAGTGCATCCACTGGAACTAAGCCTCACATAACCTTAAGGATCCTGAAACAATCCTGGCCTGTGACCTTATGAGGTTGCAGTTGAACAGAATTTTCTCATTGACAGTGCTTGTTCTTTGGCACGTAAGACAAGTGTTCAATACCATGATGAGACAGGCATAGGAAGCGCTGCCACACTGAGTATCTGTACCCCCAAGGGACCTAGTACAGTTCCTTGAGTACAACTTCCTATTTGGTTCACGCCGGAAGCACTCTATTCAATGGGCCTAAGAATCCTCCCAGTAGGTCAGATCCTGGCACATCTAGCCCAACTTCTCTGGAGCATAAAGCAATTGTAAAAAAGGATCATATACTCTTCCTGGTGTCAGTTTTAGAGGGAAGAATGCCAGTAGGAATCACTAGCTTTTTAATACTTTATAGATCAAGCAAAGAGCATGCATATAGAGAAGGCTTTTGATGTGCCACGCACCGTGTTAGACAACGTGGAAGTCATTACTATTGTCCTCTATAATCTCCTGTTCTGTTAAAAGAAATACGACAAACATACACCAAACAGTAGTCATCAGCCTTTTCATCAATTATTCAACCATACTTTCTGGCCTGGAGATGTCAGTTTTCAAAAAGTTTCTGTATATCAAACAGCATTATATAATATTATATAATACGTGATTATTTTCTTATTTAAAATTAAGAAAGCATGTATATCTCTAAGGTTCCCTCACACAAACTTGATGTACTTCCACCTAAAAGCAGTCATTTGTCATTCAAGTTTAGGATTTTTGTGGGGATTTAGTGACTATTATTATCACTATTTTTATTACATGCAGCCTAATCACAGGCAAATGGACCATTTTACTAGGCTCTTTGTAATAGCGACAATACCTTAGAATCCATCATTACCACCTTCTTCAACTTCTATGAACTTTGAGGACGCAAATTAGGAACAATTTCTGTAGAAAACTAGTAGTTTTAATACATGTTAAATACCAGTAAGTGTTAAAGGATTTAAAAAAATACACGTTCAGTATGTATTTGGGGTTGCAAAGCTTCCACGGTAGCCAGATGGTTTCAAACTGTGCCCCCAGTCAACAGAAAAAGTTGCTGAGAAAGTTAACTTTGTTTTGCTTTGAAATAATATTACAGCTTTACTTGTGACATTCTCCAGCTCTTTGCTTTCTTCATTCTATACTACCTTACAAAAACAATGGTGCACAAGGCAAAAAAACCTGTGATTACTTTTGTGGTAGGCAGCATTTAACCTTACCCCAGTGTTTATAAAGTGATGACAAAGAGCTCTCTGAGGGTTTTGTCTGTAATTAAAAGTTTTAGGATATTTAATCTCATTTATTTTTTGCTTGATATATATTTACTTTGATAATTTCAGTGACCATATTGGCTTCAGGAAAGAAAAAGACTGAGCAAGGATTGAAAATTTCATACCTTTACCACTACAATTCCTGATATTGTCTAGACAGTTTTGAAACTTCAGAACATATATGACCTGCTTTGTAAAAGACTCATACTACTGAACTCCCCACAGATCGATGTTTCTAGCATTTTTTCATGAAATATTTATTCCTGAGAAGGAAAAGAAAAACGATGCCAATGTCACATCTGTAACTACAAAATGCATTCAGAAATCCACCATTAGCTGTTTTGTTTCCTGGGTTATAATATTTCCTTTGTATCTACAAAACTGCTCAGGGAAACATTTATATAGTCCATTTCATTCTGTTCCTTTGCCAAATTTTGGTGTTCGTGGTGTATAGATCAAAGTGGCCATCCCTGTTTCAAAATATCAGAGGTTTCTTAAAACAATGTTCAGGCAAAAAAAGAAAAAGATGTATAGACAAAATAACAGTCTCTTGGACTTTAATCTTTTAGTTTAAGCTCTCTGTTTTTGAACTTCCAAGAAAGAGAACAGATTTTTTAGAAAGAAAGCTGGAGCCTCCTTAACAATGAAATGATATTTTTTGCACTGCTTTCATACCCAGAGTGCCCCCACCCAAGATGAAAGGCGGTAGAGAGAAGGTTCAGTAATGATCCAAAGGCAACTGGGTTGATGAAATCAGAAGGGCGACATGTTGTCAGGTGCCAAGGTGTGGGATGTGAAGACTTGTTTCTATAAACCAAAATGAGGCAGACCACAGGATAGACGTTGGTAAACAATGAATGTGAAAGGAGGCAGTGTCAGAAATGGTAGACTTCTTGAAGTAAATAAGAAGCCACACTCTCTGCAGAGGGAGAGAGAGGGGAAACAAAGGCGCTAACTTAGGTCAGGTACTGTGTTAAGACCTGGATGTGCCAAGAGGAATTCATCGTAGGTTCCAATCACATCATGTATGTTATTTCGTTTTAACTTCACTGGGAAAGGTAAGGAAAAACTGGCCAAGAGTGGCCTTCATTGGGTTGAATAAAAGAAGAAGGAGAAAAACTGGGCAATAAGACCTGGTAGGTGCATCCAGGCCCACCCAGGACAGAAGACGCCCAGACCACACAGTGTTCTGTTCACCTTTTTTTTAAGTTTGTATTTTAATTCCAGTAAAGTTAACATACAGTGCTATATTAGTTTCAGGTGTACAATACAGTGATTCAGTGTTCTATTACTTTAGATGGATAAGCTGATGATTCAGATTCCAGACCTATAAGCCTGGGTGAATAGACCCTGACTCTGTAAGAGCTTCCAAGACATGCTAATCAATGGGGCCCAGGCTAACACAGTGTACCTGATCTCATAAAGCACAGAGATAGACAGAAACACGCTACAAGTCAGGGCATGAGAACAGTTGACACTTGAGAAGTATATGAAGAATATTCTAGAAGTCCAAATTACAGTAGTTGCTAGATAGGAGATGGAAGCCCGACCAATTCAGTGCAGTGACCTCAGAATTAAGGTTGGGAGACAGAAGAGGATATTGGTGAAACGCACAGGCTCTGAGGTCACAGCCTGTATTTATTCCCAGGCGGGACACTGACCAGTTGTGCTGCATTGAACAGGCTACCTAGACTCTGACTTTTGGCTTCCCCATTGGTAAAAATGGTAATAATAATTAATAATAATAATAATTTGTTTCATAGGGTTGTTGATACAAATAAATGAGATAATACATGCAAAATGCTTAGCAGGAATGCTTAGAATGTAGTATGTGGTTAGCAAATCTTAGCTATGATTCCAAGAACAAAAGCTCAGTACCAGGCAATAGTTTCAGTTTGAATTAGGAAGTGTCCTCTAAGCCATGAAGGAGGTAAAACTAGGACAAGTACAGGGAACCGTACAGAGCAGACAGAAAGATCAAGAACTTGCTGTCTCGAGTAGGTTGTGCAGGTTTAGAATATAAGCTGAGTTAGATGTCCCACTACTGTTTCCCTAGAAGCCCATCCTTTCCTCAGTCACAGCTCTTCTCTCCAACCCCAGTACCTGCTACAGTGTCTGTCATACAGTAGATGCCCATGATGTTGGTTGAAAGAGTAAACATATTTAAAGTAGCCTTAAGCACACACAAACCTGTCTCTGGCTTCTCGCTTACAGAACAAAAGGGCATTAGAAAAATTAGCCTCATAGATAAACCCAGATATTATCAAAAGGAGGTGCTCTTTTCAAGACATTTTTTTTCTTTTTCTCATTTTTGTAAAGGAAGTGAATTTTGTAAGTGCCGAGAGAATGTGTAAACTCACCATAGGTGTCAAATCATAACACTGCCACAGGAGAATTCACACCTATAGATGAGCTAGTTGAAGAACAAAGTTAGTTTTGAAAGGTTAAAGAAAAAGATTTTGAAATGTCAGATCCACTCTATAAAACTGACCACCCTTGGCATCACCCTTTTAATCTACCTGGGTTGGAGAAAAGCCTAGGGCATTTGAAATGAAGACAATTAGCACCTCAGACAGGGCATCCACATGCAAAATTCTGTCACCTCTCAGAGACCTCAGGAGGTGACAAGTCTTGATAAGAAGACATTTTCAACCTTGGCTGACAGTTTGTCAATGCTTTTATATTTGACTTAAATGGCATCTATGTTTTAAAAGGTTGTTGTTTGCTTTAAACTATGAAGCTCTCTTCCTCCACCTCATGATTTTTATTTCTTAGGTCGTTTAGAAAACAACAAGAACAAAAATCTTTCCTCTATTGGGTGAGATCTGAGGAAACAGCTCTTGCTTCTTGCACACAAATGAGCTCAGTCCATTTCCCCTCTGTTTCTCTGGAAAGTACTCCTGGCTTTTGTTTAAAGCACAGAGTGTTAAAGCTGGAAGTGGCTTTAGGGGCCATCTGGTTCAAGTCCATTTGACATAGGGAAAAAGTAAGGCTCAGAAAGAGAAAGCGATTTCGTGGTAAAACATGGAGTATAATTTGACCCTCATAATTGCTGGATTAATACTCCTTCCAATTTATTTTGCTCTTCCAAAAGGTAGGCCAGAGGCATGTACAACCAAGTGTGTGTGTGTGTGTGTGTGTGTGTGTGTGTGTGTGTGCATGCATTTTTTCTCTTATTTTCTTTAGAGCACTAATTTCATTCATTCACTCACACAACAAATATATTTAAGCATCTAAAATGTGCTAGATGGGGGTGCCTGGCTGGCTCAGTCCATAGAGTGTGCGACTCTTGATCTCGGGGTTTGGAGTTCAAACCCCATGTTGGGCATAGAGTTTAATCAAAAATAAAAAATAAAAACAGATGAAAAAAATAAAAAAATAAAATGTGCCAGATGGAAGATACAGGGGTGGTGAGTAAAGTACACTAATTCCTGCCATCAAGGACCCTATGTTCTTAGTGCAGGAGATAGGCAATAAGGGATTCATCAGATAATTCTGCTTCTGAGTGGATTATACCTGTATTTGGGGCCCGTTCTTCTTAACTCTTTCTCTGCTGGTGCCTCCACTATGTCCATTGCTCCCCTCTCTTGTTTTTCCCCTTTCCTCTCTTGTGGGTATGGCAAGAGAGAGAAGGAAGAGAGCCATTTTGAATCCTCTTTCTCCATACTTCAAGCTCGGCGCAAAGTTCTGAATTTGCTAAAAAGTCAGGTTCAGTACTCGTGTAGCCCCAGAGTGAAGATGTCGGTATTTTTCATCAACGCTGCAGTAGTGGGCTGGCCCAGCTGTCAGCTTGCTTGTGAGATGACAATGACATGCTGGGTGTGAGGGTTGGACTATTATCTTATAATTGATCTGTTCTTTTTTTACATGCGTTTAGTTGTGCTGAACCCCATCGTACCTGGCTGCTTTGACAGGTGTGCTATGTTAGCAACACAGACCCAAACAGAGAATGAAAAGAAGAATGCATGGTACACTTTTACTGTCAGATCCAGGTTGCTCCGTTCCTAAGTTTGTGGATGATTTGTTCAGGGTTGTTCAGAGACAAAAAAACAAAAAACACACAAAAAACCCAACAACCATAAAACCAAACAAAACTTAGGTTTTATTTTTACCTACATGACATACTGTTCTCACAGTTCACCTCACAGGTGGGCTATTGTCTATAGGGCGTGAATGAGGGCCTGGACCCCCTACCCTACCTTCCCCTTTCTTGTCTGAAATTCCTTGACCCAAAGGGTGAGAGGTGGACTTGACCATAAACAAGTGAGGTAGAAAGATGATGAGACAATCTTGGCTCAGTTCCCCAGAGTTATCCCCGAATATCCTCTTGAATGCTGTTTTATTTTCTTTGTTTATTCTCGGTGTTGTAGGAGGCTTATGTTTACACTTCATCTACTAAGGTTGATAGAGTCAACCTTAAGGCTGGGCATGCTTCAGTGAAGGAGAGTCACGGGGCGCCTGGCGGGCTCAGTCGGTAGAGCATGTGACTCTTGATCTCGGGTCCTGAGTTTGAGCCCCATGTCGGGGGTAGAGTTTACTTAAAAAAAAAAAAAAAAAAGTGAGTCACTACTAGCTGCCATTGAAATCTGAGAGGACCATTCTCAACCCCAGCGGGTGGCAAACACGTATCTGGCTTTGGCGCAAGGCTGCTCTGGGCATGTGGGGATTTAGAAATTGTTCCCCCAGCCTTGAGCTCCCAGCCTTGCTGTGCTCTCGTGGAACTAGGTGCTGAAGTTGTGGAAGAGATACAATGGACACATGACTTCAGTTATGTAAAATCCTGTTTTACAAGTATTTAACATAATCGAAAGGCACAATGTAGGAGACCGCCCAGCTTCAAGCATGAAACAAAGTCTTATTCCAGTAAAAAGGGGGGAAGTTTGAGGGGAATATTACTTAGCAGCATATTTTAAAATAGAAGCAATGCTTTATTTCAGAGTAGGCAATGAAAGTTGAAAGGCTTTAAAAATTAATGATAGTTTAGCATCAATTGAAGAAAAAACATGCTCTATTAACAACAGAGGATAAAATTATCAACACTTGCGATATGATTTAAAACAAGTTTTATGCCCCAAATGCAGATAGGTGGGCCCTGTACATCAAAGGGTGTATACAAGTCCACATAAAGACAAAGCACCAATGAAATGATTCATTCTCTCATCTAAGGCTCATCAAACAAACAAAAAATCTGGAAAATCTTTGGACATAGATGGATTTTTTAAAAGGTTTTATTTCTTTATTTGAGAGAGAGAGAGAGCGAGCAAGTGAGAGCGAGCAGGAGCAGGAGCCTGATGCAGGGCTTGATCCTAGGACTCCAGGATCATGACCCTAGTGGAAGGGAGATGCTAACTGACTGAGCCACCCAGTTGTCCCCGACATAGATTGATTTTTGTTCCTCAATCAGCACTCCAGGATCTTTGGCCAAGAAAGTAGGAAAAGTATTTGCTCAGGATCAGGATTGCTCAAGATGACTAGGAAGAGTAGAGAAGGAGACTTGGCCCATGTTGGTTTCTCACCGACTTTCTGATTGTGTAGGAGCCTCCTGGTTCTGCTCAGGAGTGCCTGCACACTGATAGTACTGGTAGTTTCTGTGTTTTGGTCTCAGAGCTTCTGGTTCTTTCATTCTCTGTCAGCACGTTTCTGCCCCACACCAAGGCCGTATACACCTTGCATCTATCATCAACCCGTCTGGGGACTAATTAAGCTAAGTCATCCCTGGCGGCCCCTGGGAAACCTGCAAGAACGGAAGCCTTAGCAAGCATTCCTGTCTGTGGGCCCGGGTCGGCCTTGGTAGTACAACCCAGCTCTTGCAAGGGCCTTCTTCCAGTTGGCCTCCCCTCCCCCTCTGAACCCTGTGTTGGGGGGTGGGGTGTGGAGGGTGGGGGCAGGGAGGGGGATTGAACCTTGTGGCAATAACCAAGCTTCTAAATTGCTGAGCTGGTTTTAATTGAAGTGTGAGAAGGAGGTTTGAAGGCAGATAGACAACATCCTGTTGTTCGGGTGCTCCTCTCTCTTTTTCTGCACATCTGGCTGAACTGGGAGTCAGGTGGCTGGCTCGGGGCTTGGTTGCCGCAGCAGAGGCATCTGCCTTCCACTGGTCCACGCCTCAGCGGCCCACGAGTCCACCAGGCCATGGACGCGGTGGCTGTGTACCACGGCAAAATCAGCCGGGAGACGGGCGAGAAGCTTCTGCTGGCCACGGGGCTGGATGGCAGCTATTTGCTGAGAGACAGCGAGAGCGTCCCGGGCGTGTACTGCCTGTGTGTGCTGTGAGTACGTTGCGGTGGCCGCGGGCACCGGGCCCGTCGACTGCACCGCACGGGCTGGGGCTGCGGGCGGCGGCGGGCGACGTCGGGGCCTCCAACACTGCTCCTGCGACCGCAACAAGGCCTTCCTCAGGTCCAGCCTAGGGGCGTCGCGGACCAAACTTCGGGGTAGGCCCTTCATGGGGGTTTCACTCCCAGGGCCTTCCCGCTCCAGAAGTCTCTCCCCGGGGCCTTTTGTGGCAGCTGCGGAGAATGCCCTTCGGGGTGGGGAGACGAGGCCTAGAATCTACCTTTGCTCTGAGTAAGATCCAGGCTCCCCAGCTCCCGTTTTGACCTCTAGTGGAGGCCAGGGAGGTGGAGCCCTGGGATGGTGGACTGGCCAAAATTGGGGCCACCGACTCCTGAGAAAATGAAAGGCATCTGTGCCTTTCCAGATCTCTTTAAATGGAATTGGAGGCGTCCTCCCAAGGGAAATCATCACATTCTGGGAAAGGAAGAAGACTGAGAAACGGAATCCATTACTTTAAGAATGCAATGCCAGTTAGGTCGGGGTGCTGAGAGGGGGATATTTGGAAGTAAGACTGCCTCTCTGGATCTGCTTACTTTGTGCTTCTTTTGGAGGAGCTGTGTGCGGGGGCTGGGAGTTTCAGAAGTAGGAGCCTTCTTTTTTTTTTAATTTTATTTTATTATGTGAGTCACCATACGTTACATCATTAGTTGTTTTTTTTTTTAAAGATTGGTGGTAGATCTTTTTTTTTTTAGATTTTATTTATTTATTCATGAGAGACAGAGAGAGAGAGAGAGAGAGAGAGAGAAGCAGAGGGAGAAGCAGGCTCCCCACTAAGCACGAGCCCGATGCGGGACTCGATCCCACGACCCTGGGATCATGACCTGAGCCGAAGGCAGACGCTTAACCATCTGAGCCACCCAGGCGCTCACATCATTAGTTCTTGATGTAGTGTTCCATGATTCATTGTTTGTGCATAACACCCGGTGCTCCACGCAGAACGTGCCCTCTTTAATACCCATCACCAGGCTAACCCATCCCCCCACCCTCCTCCCCTCTAGAACCCTCAGTTCGTTTCTCGGAGTCCATCCTCTCTCATGGTTCATCTCCCCCTCCGACTTACTCCCCTTCATTCTTCCCCTCCTACTATCTTTTTTTTTTTTTTAACATATAATGTATTATTTGTTTCAGAGGTACAGGTCTGTGATTCAACAGTCTTGCACACTTCACAGCGCTCGCCATAGCACATACCCTCCCCAATGTCTATCACCCAGCTGCCCCATCCCTCCCACCCCCCACCACTCCAGCAAACCTCAGTTTGTTTCCTGAGGTTAAAAATTCCTCATATCAGTGAGGTCATATGATACTTGAGAAGTAGGACCCTTCTTGATAAAAAGCTAGGACTGACAGTAGTGGTAAAGGGCATGAAGGGAAAACACCCCTGTTATGATTCAGCTTTGCCCTTTACCTAGGCATGCCTTAGTCTAACGCCCATTTTGAATCAGATGCACCTTCATCTTTGCTCCAGGGCTCCAGAATCAGGAGATCTGAGACCTCATCCTGTGCCAGTCTGATGGTAGACTTGTGACCTTGGCAAGTTAACCTCTTGGTCCTTCAGTTTTCTTGTCCATAAAATGGGTATAATAATAAGACCTACCTCATAGGAGAGTGAGGGGCAAATGCGATAATGCAGGTAAAGAATTTAACACTGGACTGGACACATCATAAATGCTCAGTAAATGTAAGCTATTGTTATTATTGTATCTGTCTTCTGTCGAGTTCTCTCAGTACTCTCGGGGCATTTCTAAGGAAGGACCTAGCTTGATCACTTTTTGTTACACGTGAAACACCTGCACTATGTAGTAGGTTCTAGTCAGAAACAAAATGAAGGAAAATGCTTGGTAGTAATTTTGATACCTAATGATACACTGCAAGATTGTGAAATACTTTCTGGGTCAGTGAAGAAGATCATACTGAGGCCATTATTAGATGATTTTCATTGTTTATTGGTTTTTTCTTTTTACATGGTCAAGCCATGTTGGTGACAACTCTCAGGCCATGCTAAATACACTTACTATAAAGGCTTCAAGAGAAAATGTGGAAGCAGTTGAATCTCTTGGGCTCACATCTTTTTTTTTTCTTTTTGAAGTACAGTTGACATACAATGTTATATTGGTTTTAGTTGTACAACATAGTGATTTGACAATTCTGTGCATTCCAAAATGCTCAGCACGATAAGTGTGGTCATCATCTGTCACCATACAAAGTTATTACAGTATTGTTGACTGTGTCCACTATGTTATACTTTTCATATCTATGACTTATTTATTTTATCACTAGAAATTTGTACCTCTTAATCCTCTTCACCTGTTTTGCCCATCCCCCCCCCATCCCTCTCCCCTTTGGTGACCACCAGTTTGTTCTCTGTATTTAAGAGTATTTTTGTTTGTTTTATTTTTTAGATTCTGCATATAAGTGAAATCATATGGTATTTGACTTTCTCTGACTTATTTCACTTAGCATTATACTCTTTAGTTCCATCCATGTCATTGTAAATGGCAAGATTTCATTCTTTTTATGGCTAATATTCCATTGTATATATTATACCACATCTTCTTTATCCATTCATCTGCTGATGGACACTTGGGTTGCTTCCATATCTTGCCTATTGTAAATAATGCTGCAATAAACATAGGGGTGCATATGCTTTTTTGAATTAGTGTTTTTGTTTTCTTTGGGTAAATACCCAGTAGTGGAATTACTGGATCATGGTATTTCTATTCCAGTTTTTTTGAGGAAACTCCATACTGTTTTCCATAGTAGTCACACCAATTTACATTCTTACCAGAAGTGCGGAAAGGTTTGCTTTTCTCCACATCCTTGCCGACACTTGTTATTTATTGTCTTTTTGATACTAGTCTTGGGTTCAGACCCTTATGATTTGCTTACATTATTGTTTTTCCCAATTGGAAACTGGGGAAGGTCGGTGAAAGCCATCTAGTATTCTGCGGCTCTTTTCTTATCAAAAGAATGTGGAAGAATGAGTGGGCAAGTGAAAGGGGCTTCTTTAGAGAAGCTGACAAAGGAGGTAATGAGCCCCTTAACATAGAGGTTAAAAAAGAAGCCTGGGCAGGGGACTAAGATGAGACAGTGTGTGGCAAGATGCACCTAAAGACTCAGCCACGTTGGCCCCTTTGTTTTTTCTCAAACCTGCCAACTGTGCGCTCTCCTCCTCGGATCTTTACACTTTACACTTTGTTACTTCTGCCTCATGCCTCAGAGACCACTTTGACCACCCTATCTAAATTAAGTAGCTTCTCCCTATGCCTGTTATACTCTATGACTTTATTTTTCTTCAAGGAGTTTTAAACTAGCTGACATCTGCTTGTTTACTTATGTATTGCTGTTTTCTTCAGCAAAAATGGAAACTCACCGAAGGCAGGGACATTGTCTTCTGCACCAGGAACACAATCTAGCACATAATAGCCATTATGAGGCACGTTATGAGGTACATAATAGGCACTCAATAAATATTTTTGAATTAGCAAATGGATTGCCAAGGCAAATACCCTTCTTTCCCGCACAGAGCTTTGGACTGATAATCAGGCCAGGGTGTAGACTCTGGGGAGGTCATTCAGCTTCTCTGGGTCTTGATTTTCATACCTGTTAAATAGGAATCGTAAGGTGTGCCTACCTTTTGCATAAGATCGCTATTGGAAAAATATGCAAAAGAAAAGGACAACTTTTAGCCTTTTGCCTATGTAGGCCAGGACCACATAAGGAATTAACTTAGGCAGAGTGGGAAATTGTCAAACACGTAAGTTTTTACCCAAAGTGAATCTTGCATAAATGCAGTTTTTATGACTCTCAGCTCTCCATGCAAACCTCCTTATGAAGTCGCGGAATTTGGTAGGCAAACTGGGAGTCTCCTAGCTTGTGTTTTGATGGGCACACTGGGGCCTCAAAGTCTTAGATCATGATTGCCAGGCTGTGCTACAGAGGAAAGACACAAGGATACATTGTCTTTTATGAGAGTTTCTTACTCTTTTTGAGCCAAGGGTCCCTTTTGATAAACATAAAAATTTCATGCCCCCATTTTAGTACTATGCTGTAGTAACAAAAATCAAATTTTATTTTGAAATAAACAACATACTCATTTCAAACCAAAACTTGTATGCTCATGATATGCAGTAGAAATAACAATGTAAATGGTGTATACACGCGAACAAGATATAGCTAACAAACGTGAATTGATTATAGAATTCACTCAGAATAGTTTCTCATTCTATCTCTCGTTTTCTCCCATTGTCCAAGGAGGTTTGGTTGAGCTTTAGTTTCTGTAATTTTATGGCAGAAATAATACATTATGTGTGCCTTTCAAACTTTATTTTAAACTCTATTTTCAAACTATGCTTGCTCCTTTCCCTGGCTCTGAGCCCCCAGTCATGGCCTTTAGATATGGCCTTTTCCTCTGTTCAGTTTTGGAAAATTGAATCTCATAAAGCACTAAAGAAATTTTCCATTTACAGAATTTCTCACCTTCCTTTAAAGTGAGTTTTCCTTTCAGTTATTTTCAATACATAAATGCAGATTTTTGTATCATGAATCTATTAAAAATAGTTCCTAATGCCTATTCTTATAGAAAACTTGAAAAGTGTAAATAATGGAAATGAGGGAAATCATCTATAGTTTTAAAACCTAAAGACAATTATTGTTGAAAATTAAGGGAATTTTCTTCCATATTTTAGTAGAATAAATTGCTTTCTAAACACACAAGTGCTCTTACAATATCATATTCTACTGCATTTTCCACTTAACATGAAAAAAACCCATTCATATATATTTTAAGACATCATTTTTAATGGCTGCATGGTAGTTCAGCCAGTGATTGTACTATATTTTCTTTAACCAGTCATCATTTTTAGACATTTGAATCATTCCATTTTTCTTTGCTGTTACAAATGTTATCATGATTCATATTTTAGTCCATAAAGAT